CCAAGGCTCTTAAAATTTTTAAAAATGCTTGGTCAATCAGGAGAATATGCTTTTGGATGGCTGGTACTATTATTTATGGTTGGAAAAACAACAGTATTTAATTATGTTGAGCTTCAAACTTATCCTTTGATTAATGGAAATTTTTCAGGCAAATACTTTTTATTATGGTCTGCTTTTACTTGGTCCAAGAAGTGTTCACTCTCAGGATTCAATTTGAATGCCTTCAGACATCTCTTAATCATATTAAATCTGTGATATCAGCGGGGCATCCATTTGGAAATGTTTAGAAGTCCATTGATATAATGAAAAGGGAACTAAATTGAGCCAGTTGAGTTTCCAGTTCTCATAGGGGCAGTGATGTTGAGTTTTGTCTGATCTTTCATGCTCTGTCATCTTTTTTTCCCCTATCATTGCTCTGTTCTTCACCACTGTGTGCCTCAGCATCTCTCCATTTCTTGCTTAAGTTTCTGCTGTAGTTCTTTTTAGAGAATCTTTAAAGGTATCTGTAAGGCTGAAGAACATCTAATCTCTTAATATAAAGCTTGGTAAACTAGTTAACCTCTTTGCAGAGTCTTATGAAAAATTACCCAGGATGAAGACCTATAAAGATTCAGTGAAAAACTGATGAGAATTTTGCAAGATGTTATAGCAATATGGCTAAAGAATTAGTTAAATCTACACTTAAAATAAAGGACTAGGGGTATAGTTAGGGTTTCTGAAGCTTCTTATTGGGAAGGCGGGCCCTGAAGACCTTAAGAACATGAAAATGAAAGTAGTTAATTTGGTCCTATAAAAATTAGGAGAAAGCAAAGGGCCTCTGAGGCTGGGTGGAGAAAGAAATATTGCCCTAATATGATATAAGCACTTTCTACCAAAGAGACGTGAAGCCCTAAATGACAGGTGCACTAGGTGCACTCAGGCCCGGCGAGGTAGAGGACAATAGAAAGAGATGAGTCCAGGACTCCTAAAGGCTTATGGCTGGGGATTGATCTGACTCGCTCTGAGTCCAGATATGATCACCTCACACTTTGTTTCTTTCTAGGACAGATATTAGGCCAACTCAGTCTGCATTGTGAGGACACAGATCTCTCTCTAGAGGCAGTTGTGCCAAATTAGCTTGGCCTAATGGTTACTCAAGACAACCTGAAATTTCAAGGTCCCACAGGGCTCTGCAACCAGTGAGAACATCTCACTGCCTTTTAGCTTGATCTGGATGATAGTCATCTTGGTGACTTGCACTTTGGGAGTCTTCATTGAGAAGGGCGTGGCTAACATGATACCGATAATGTTAGGTACATGAATTTCCAAGTGGGATAAAAAGTTGTTTTATGGAGAGGAAATATGACCTGTGTAATTTCTCTTTCCTTTTTGGATGCCTTCTGAGTTTTAGGCCCTATGTCTGCAGTGGAGTTTTAGTATTCCAGGGCCATCTCAAAGATATAGCATAGACAAAAGGCATTGCAAACGTCTCCACTAGATCTGGGGAACATGGTGTTTTCTATTATATCTCTCACCAATACTTTAAAGAACAATATTTCCTTATTCCATTTATACTGTGACATTATTATTTTATTGGTTCAATTGTTGATTAATTCATTTGATATCAAAAATTTTTGGGACCTATTGTGAATGAAGCATTCTGCTGTCAACACTGGGAATTTTATTCCTATTTATTTTTTCAATTATTTATTTATTGTTTGAAGCATTACAAATAGTAGTACATATGTCTCCTTTTTTCCCTCCTTGATTTCCCTCCAGCCTCCCCTACACCTCAGCATATGCCTTCACCTGCCCCTCCCCCCAAACACTGGGGGTTTTAAAGATAAATAAGGCACAAGGTAACCAATAGAACGTACAATTGAAGGAGTAGAGTAGCAAGTTGCAGATAGTGAACAGAAATCTGCTATTGGGTACAGAACAGAGATAAATTATTTAGAGTGGGTGGGGATTGCAACTGGCTAGAAGAGAGGAATTTATGCAAAAGGTGACCTTAAATTGCAGCAGTCACCTCATACCCATTGGGATGGCTACTATTAAAAAGCAGAATAAAACAAAAAAAATAATGGATGCAGAGAAATTGGAGCCCTTGGAAATGGGGGAGTCAAATAATGCAGCCATTATGGAAAACAATATAGCAGTTCTCAAAAAATTAAAAATATAATTTACCTTATAATCTAGCCATTCCACTTTTGGGTCTATATAGCCACAAAAATTGAAAGCTGGGTCTCATAGACATATTTGAACATCCATGTTCATAGCAACATTAATTACAAAAGCCAAAGATAGAAGCAGCCCAAGTCCATAGCGGGATGAATGGACAAACAAAATGTGGTATGTGCATACATTGGAATATTATTCAGCTTTAAAATGAAAGGAAATTCTGAAATGTATTGCAACATGGAATGACCTTGAGGACATAATACTAAGTGAAATAAGTCAGTCACAAGAAGACAAATATTATGTGATTCCACTTACACGAGTACTTATTTAGTCTAGACAACTGCATAGAGACAGAAAGTACAATGGTGGTTGCCAGGGACTTGTAGGTTGAGGAAATGAAGAAAATGAGGACTTTTTAATGGGTATAGAATTTCAGTTTTGTTAGATGGAAAAGTTATAAAGATTGCTTGTGCTCTAAAAATGATAAATTTTATGTTATCTTAACCACAATTTTAGAAAATGCAGTATTTTATCATGCGGGAGTGGGTGAAAGATACCTGACATCTTGGAAATTTTGCCAATGCATATGCTATTCACTCACTCATTCATCAATTCAACAATCATGTATTAAATACCTGTTATGTGCTGGACCCTGAGCTGCATACCGGGGTTACAATACTTACTAAGATTTATAAAGCACTGAATCTGTCAATGTCATGCTTGCTAACCACCCTCTCCACCCCCCAAAGCACTAAGCTTGTATAGTTAAATATTCACAGCTGCTTTCTACTGACTTGAATCATGCATAAGAAATTAGTAAACAAACAGTAAAAAGATTTGAAGTTCTTGGGAATAGGAAGGAGTTGGACAGCTTGGTAATGAAATGTAGAGACATGGGCCAAAGGATATGAACTAGACTTGAAAATGGCAAGTCAGTGCTCTCTAAGGACATTGAAAAATAAAGGACTCCTAATTGAGGCTGCCAACCTAAGAGCTAAGTCATTTAGAATGGGGAAAAATGGCAAAGTCAGTCACACTCAACCCAAGAAGCCCGTACTTGGTGAATTTTATGGCAAGGGCAGTTTGAGAACCATCAGTACAAATTTGTGGACAATATTAACAAGTGCGAAGGGCAGGGAAGGGCTATACAATTCGAGCAGAAAGGGAAGACAGGACTTACGAAGGGGAGGGCCAGTGATGGTCAGTGTGGTCTGTTTATTTGGCTGTGGGGTAGAAGCAGGCAGCATGAGCTTCCTTAACCTAAAAACCCTGGAAGCTCTATCTTTAATTCATTTTATCTCATCCTAGGTTTCTTTTTTTCCTTTTTTAATTTTATAGGAACCTTTATTCCATCTATTCTGCCAACATCTTTCTATTTCTCTCACTCTTTTTCCTCCCCCTACCCCCTTACACCCTGGAACATTCTATTTATTCATTTAAATATCTATTGAATAACAATTATATAACAGGCACTATGCTGGGCTCTAGACATTATGACCTCAGTTTTCCTATGTCACATTTGGCTGCACATAACAAATCCTGGATTGCTATAATTTCTGCTCCTATACCGCTTAATGCAAAGTTAGTTTCACCTACTCATTCTCTTACCTTTGTCTCTCAGTCTTCAAGGTATCTTCATTGGGGCTGTTCCTTCTACCTGTGCTTTCAACCCCATCTGCTCTACTTTTCCACTCTGTGTACCCTCAACCATTTCCGTTCTGCTGACCCATTCCTTCAATCTACATGAGACCTTCTCAGGTCTCTTCCATCCTAAAATTCCTTGTTTGTTTTTATATTCTTTAGCAACCACCCTATCTTTCCCTTCCCACTCTCATTGAGTTCTCAAAGGAATGACCATCACTCTTTTTCATTTCCTTATATTCCATCCACTTTTCCACCCATTGGATAGATTTTCACTTGTGCCCACACTATCCCCCAAAACTCCTTGCTAAGTGTTCTCTTTGTCAAATCCAAATTCCCTCTATCAGTCCTTGTTTTATTGGATTTTCTGTCCCATTTGGTGATATTGATCACTCTCTTCTTCAGTTTTCTACTTCCTTAAAACTTTTTACTCCTCTATTTACTTGGTTCTCACTTTTCTTTCTGGGATATGCTTTCTTCACAAAACCTTTGAAGGTTGATGCAATCATCCATGTTCTGCTTTCTTCTTTCTGCATGTTCATATAGAGGAGTGTTGAATAATCGCTAGTATCCTCAAATAATAGTCAAGTTACAAAAGCTGATACCTAGGGTTACATGGTAACAATGGCATCAAATCTGGTTTATATTTCTACACATGTGCTATGTTTGCATCAGTTCATTGGAGTTGCAGATGTCCCAGCTATTTGATGCTTCGTCTCTATTTCCTAAAGACCCTTCATGTGATCTGGAATTGGAATAAGCTTTAGTCTCTAATGGTGCTGAGTTAATTGTGAATCTCTGAAGAAAAAAAAAAAAACAACCCCAATGAATAAGTCTATTAGAAACCAGCTAATTCATTTTGTCATTTTCTGGATAATATATTCTGGTGTAGGCAGCTCGTTTTTTAAACAAGTTTGCAATAGACAATTTCCCCTCAAGGTTAATATAATAGGCAAACACCTTTTGCTGCGGCAGACGGCAAGAGATAAGAAAGATTAACTTACATTATGATTCATTATTTCAAAATGTCAGAATAAAGTGGATCTGCTGCAGCAGCCTGGCCTCTCATACTTTAGAGGAGAGAGTACATGTTTTGCTTTTCTAATGTTAATGGATTTACTCTTCTCTCTCTCTCTCTCTCTCTCTCTCTCTCTCTCTCTCTCTCTCTCTCTCTCTCTCTCTCTCTCTCTCTTTCACAGGCCAAATTCAGATAATCGGCGCCAGAGTGGCAGAGAGAGGTTGGCCAGCAGCGGTGACAAGGGCAGCTTGGCCGTGGAGTCTGCCAAGGAGACACGCTACTGTGCAGTCTGCAATGACTATGCTTCCGGCTACCATTATGGAGTCTGGTCCTGTGAGGGCTGTAAGGCCTTCTTCAAGAGAAGTATTCAAGGTAACAGTGTGTTGAAAATAACAAATTCCATTTTGAGTCCTAAGATGAGAAGCAACAGGGGAAGGAAGACAGATGACCAGCCACTTGCACAAAACCTTAAAACCCAGTAGCTCCCCTGGAGTCTTTGTTAGAAATATGGAGAAGAGATGGGAACTCAGGGAAGCTGCCGTTGATTTCTTATGCTTTTTCCATTTGGCAAGATCCAGAGAGTCTTGACCACAGGGTTTCAGTAACTGGGGCTCAGAGTGATTGGGGGATGGCTGGTGGAGGTCTATGTGTTGCTGGCAACTAGGCTGACAGGATACAGTGGGATATTAATTGGCTATCCATAGATACCTCTCCACTTGGGCTTGTTCCAATTGAGTATCTGTTCTGATCTTTGCTCCAGACCAATACTAATATAACCACATGTTATTTAGCTGATACTAACTTAACTTAGAAAAATTATATTTATATTTTAGTTAGGTTAGTATAAGTCTTTTAAGGCTCTTCTTCCATCTTTGTTATCTCAATAGATAACATGACCTTTGCTAAAATGAGAAGAACCAGTACCTGGTGACTTGCCATAGGGTCAAGCACCTATCATGCTGTACCCAACTGTTACTAAGTTTCTCGCTGTCACATTTCCTTTGCCTGTGGGCCGTGGTCCTCTTCTTGTATATAGTTTACCAAATACAGCTTCTCTGATGTGCTGCCCGCTGCATTTTATCTCTACTCCAGTAGTGTTTATTTGCATTTAGAGACTACGCTGGGAGAAGCTGCAATCACTTTTACTATGTAAACTATCCATGCTAAAGATCCTTTCCTTACCAGGAACAGAGCTCTGACAGCAGTGTGGGCTAACTGCATTGCTTTTTGTCTTAACAGTGGAGCATTTTTCTCTGTTCTGCCTCCTTTACCTTTCCAGCTTAAGCAAGTTTAGTATATAAATACTAGGAGTATTTCAGATGGAGTTCCTCATCTGCTGTAATTTCTCTGTTGCCCTGATATGGATGAAAGCTGGGGGTGATTGGAGGAGGGATGAGACACACTATTTTTCCTTCCATTGCTGGGAGGATGGACTTTATTTATTTATTTATTTATTTATTTATTTATTTATTTATTTATCTGTTCATATTTAATTGAGTAGTATGTGAGGTCAAGTTGGTCCTTTTAAAAGCATTTTTTTTGACAATTATTACTTTCAATATCTTATAAAATGCTGTAAGATTTGGGCTTTTTTTTCTTGGATTTTAATAAAATTACTGATATTTTCTGATAGTTTTTATTTTACATATATAAACAAGTATACTAATATATATATATATATATCTATACATATATTTAAAAATACATATGTATGCATGTATATTGATATATACAAAAACATGTATACATATGTGTAAATAACAATGTATTATTTAGCTGTCACTATCTTGATTTAGAAAAAAGTACATTTATATTTTGGTTTAGGTTAGTATAAGCCCTTTAAAGTTCTTTGCCACTGTTCATTTGATTTAATATAATCTAAAGTATCTTTATGTTCTCCAAGTATTTAATCTGGTAGTGAAAAATCATTTGACAGAAGTAGGGTTGGTTGGTAGGTTCAACTATAAAATTGGCATTAACTCAAATTTAAATGAGTTTTAAGTTGTTTTAAATGAGATGAATATGAGTCAAAATTCTGGAAGAAGCCTAAAACCAGGTAGAATTTTTAGCTCCTAGAAACATGATGTTCACTCACTCATTTAGTTGTTCATCAGTTGACTCTATTCGGCAAAGCACTGGGCAAGGTCTTGTAGAGACACTTGTAGGACAGACATGGTCCTTACCCTCATAGAGCTTACAAAGAAACTGGCAATTAGCTTGCAGTGTGACACATGCCAGGGTGAGGGTGAGCGCAGGTTCTTCCAAGAGTCCAAACTTCACCCGGTCCTCGTGGGGGTGGAGTCAAGCTCAGAGAAGGTGTCCTGATTTAAAATGAGGCCTGAAGGATGAGGCAAGTGAGGAAAGTAAAGGAAGGGATTGGTGTTCAGTCACAGGAATGAGCAGAGGAACAAAGTCCAGGAAGTAAGATAGAGTTTGGGGAGTTCTGTGAATAAAAATTAACAATTTTTTTTTTACCATTAGGTTAAACAAAGACATTTCTGGGCCATGTGTTTATTCTTACACTATGTAAAAACAAAGACATTTATTTTCTTTTTACTTAAATGATTTGTCCATGTATTTGATTTCTTTGTGCATATACGAGGGGCATACCAGAGCGAGTTTGATGGGTTTTAGTCCCATTTTCTCATCATAACCTTGAAAACTTGCAACTAAAAAGTTTTTCTGAACTTCCCTGGCTCTTTATAAATTACACTGCTCCTCAAGCCTAGTTGAGGACAGTGAAGGGTCTGGCATACAGGTAGGAAGTTCTGAAGATGTCATAGCTCTCCCTGTTTTTCTTGTTACTTAAGAAAAAAGCTTAGAAGTGAGTATCCATCAGATTACTCTAGTGCTCTAAGTGTTTCAGCTGAAGAGGTAAAGTGTTTGACTTGAAAGCATACAAATTTCCATCCACTACTTGGTGTATAAACCTGATTACTCAAAAAATTGAGTAATGGCCTCCAGTGGAACATGCTTTTTTTCCACCCTTAAATGTCAAGGATACTGCTTAAGGGAGGGGGTGAAATTGGATAGTCTATGACTATATTAATCATTGCAGGTGGAGAAGCTGTGTCTGTTAAGATGTGTTGTGGGCAGAGACTCTTGGAAGAGTTATATAAGCAGATTTGGTTCAGTGGCCAGGTACAACTTTGAGTATTGTTCCAAGAAAAATGATTCCACTGAGAACACTGCTTATTGCATATTATTTCAAATGGTCATGAGGCACAGCGCAGGCTCAAACTTTATATATATATATATATATATATATATATATATATATATATATATATATATATATATATATATATCCCTCACTATGCTGCCACATCATATAATCTCTCTCTCTAAAATGTATATAGAAGATCTTAGATCAAACAGACAAGGTCAAAACAGGTGTTGGCTGAAAGGTTAGCTAAGTTCAGGAGGACATGGTGTCAGGGTGGGGTCTGGTTATGGTTCACTGTAGTAGGGACCTTAAGTCCAACAAAGATAAATGTCAGCCTGATCTGCTGAGCCTTCGAAGGCATCAGGATGAGACAGTCCAGCACCCTGGATAGCTCCTTCAACAGCTGCCCAGGGTAAGCAGAGGCTTATTCCTGAAGAAATTTAGGCCATTCAGCTAGCTTCATTCACTTTGCTGAGCGTTATTAAAAGAGAATCTAGCTTCTTTATGCTTAAGGACTCACCCTTGCTCAGCCATGATGGATTAGGTTTTACGTTTAGTTTCCCATTTCTAGTCACCTTCTGGATTGACATGCATGCTCATGAATGGAAGAGGCCAGAGGATAGGGAAAAGTGGAGGCTGCTCTATCATTAGAGAACTATTTTATCTCAGAAGTCCTTTCAGAGATATGGCTCAAAAATTGAGAGCCTGGTAATATATGCACACAAAAATATGAAATCTTTGGTCTCCACAATTCTACATGTGCCCCTATAGTCTGCTCTTCATTCAATGGTGGGAGAGATCCTTGAGATATGTTATTCAAGTCATAAGGTCTTGCAGTTGAAACTCTCACTGCACTTAAAGTCCAGATTGTTTTCTATGGTTTAAAATACTACACATGATCTTACATGTGCTTACTCATCCTCCTTTCCCTCTGGCCACACTGGCCTTCCTCTTACCCCAGTGCACCAACCTGTTTCTGCCTTGAGACCTTCATACATGTGCTTCTTTTTTTCCTTTTGCTTGCAACACATGCATCTTGGCTGACTTCTTGTCATTCAGATCTCTGCCCAAGATCACTTTCTCAGAGAAGTTTCCCCTAAAACTTCTATTTCCCTTCTATTTCATAGGAAATAAGAACTTTGGGAAAAAATTCCAGAAACATGAACTAAGTATTCAGTGGAAATTGAGTAAATTATCCATGAGAGAAGAGGGGACTTAACTGTCCTCTCTCTGCCTCTTTATGTTCCCTCTTCAGTTCTCTACCATAGGCATTCTCTAGCATCTGTAATCTCTGCTCCTCTCACTTTCTCATTTCCTCTATCTAGTGTCCCAGGCAATCTCATACGTATGTGTTTATGGGTTGAATTGTCTCCTTTCCCATACCCAAATATACTGAAGTCCTAACTTCCCCGGACCTCAGAATGTGGAAATTGAGTAATTGCAGATGCAATTAGCTCATATGAAGTCATAATTAAATATGATTAATAATATCCGTATATGAAGAGGAAAATTTGGGCATAGAGATTGGGAGAAGGATGCCCTAAGATGATGAAGAGGGAGACTGGAATGCTGTAGCAGGAGGCCAATGAACCCCAAGGATTGCTGGTCAACCACCAGAATCCAGAAAGAGGCAAGGAAGGGTTATTCTCTACAAGTTTTAAAGGGAGCGGGCCCTGCTGACACCTTACTTTCAAACTTTTTGCCTCCAGAGCTGTGTGTCAATATTTGATGCTGTTCAAGTTATTCATTTGTGGTACTTTGTAATGACAGCCCTAGGGTGCAATACTTACGACCTAAAGTGTTAGGGTATGCAAACATCTCTCAGATCTCGCTCCTGCTCCAACCTTGCTTTTAGTGAGTCCTGTGTGTCTTCAGCGGACACTAGCTACTTCTCCTAGCTACTGCTTATATCAGTTCCCACACCATTCCCTCAGGTGCTCACACTTAACACTTGGAGTCAGTCATTTTATCTTTGCACTTTGGCAGTCCTGCTGTTTCCCATTGGGACCACTGTGTACTTCTGTTGAGTCTGTCTCTTAAATGTCTGTCTATCCAATTCCCATTCCTCAGAGTTAACCTTATTAACTTTCATCAGAATCATCCAATAATTTATTTCCCCCCTTTATCTTCTTTTAAGCCAGGACGGGGAACATCCAGCCCGAAAAATTATTTGGTCTGGCACTGCCAAGGCGTTAGGGGGGAGCTA